GTTTAGCCTTCGGGTTTTCTGCCCGAGTCTCCTAGACCGGTTTCCCGTACTCATGGCTCTTATCCACTACATTAGTGGACGTAGCGCTAGGAGTATAATCCATTTGGCTTTTCCTTTTTTTATTTTATTATTTTTTTTCTTTTTTTTTTCAAAGCAGATAAACATATATACAATGCAATCAACTATCACCTCCTACATTCAACCCGCAACTCAATATCATCATCACGAGGCTAATCAATAAAATCGATCAAAGCTCAAAGGGGGTAACTAGCGACTGTTATTCAAAAAAAAGAAAAGGAAAAGGATAATACAAGAAATGCCTCAATCATATTGATGTTTCACAAATCTAATCGAGTTATTTCATAGCAGTCTCAAGGAAAATTCTACTGGACGAGATTCTGACCAATATCACACAAGAAACAGTATAGGCTCAAACCTCACAAGGTAAATATGTTCCTAAAAAACAACCAAGCCAATAAATCAAAATGCATTACTCGATCTCATCATCACAACTTCTCAAATTCAACCAACAGTCATCAACCAGTCTTACAATATACCATGATCCAAGTTCAAAAACAAATAAAAACCTAAAACTAGACTGGTCCACCACGCAAAAGAAAGAAATAAAATGACCTAAAAATAAAACTAGACCTGGTCAACCACAAAGCCACATAAAATGCAAAAGCTCCCCCACACTTAAGAGCAGACAATGTCCCCATTGTCGACTTTCAGCGAATGGGAGCTGTACCACACAATCAACCGACTCAACAAAGAAGAGAAAATATAGAAAATAAAATAAAAATAAAAGAGAAAAGAAAAGAAAAGCTGACCAACACAGTGACAAGTCACTATGGATCGGGGGAGGCGATGGAGGATGAGTATCGGATGGCCCGGTACCGGAACTGAACTGGGCATCCCACCGGTCAAAACGCTCGTCCCACTGCGCGTGGCGAGCCTCGAAAACCTCCACACAGAGGTTGACACTCGCGAGCTGGGCATTCATATCTCGCATGTCACAATCATAGCGGTCCTCGAACGCCGTCCACCAAGGCGGAGACTGGGACCACCAAGCTGGCGGGGCAGAAAACGCAGCCGGATGCTGCTGATGATGATGTGCGGCCCGGGGTGTTCGACGATCGGAACCAGAAACAGGCTTAGGGGCAGGCTGCCAACCAGAGGGAGGCAGAAGAAGACGACTATCGTCGAGAACGGTCTGATCATGGTCCATCTCATCCGCCTGATGAGTATCGTCGGTCGCCTGCTGAGGACGAGATGAGCTCGTCTGTGCAGCGGAAGCAGCAGCCTCCAACTTCCTCATGTACGTGGAGTAGTCCTGGCGCTGCTCATAGACCACGAAAGTGCGTCGGTCGAAGATCAAACCCGAATGGTGAAGCTCAAATACGTCAATGCGCCGCATCTGAACAGGAGGACTGCCCGAAGCCGTCGGATCGACACCGAGATTGAGAGCGAAAGCTGTCACCACGTGACCGAAACAGGCAGCTGCCCTCTTATTTCGAAGCACTGCCCGAAACTCCTCCTTCAGATACTTGCGCACATTCAGATCCGCACGCCCGATCATGGCCCAGAGCACGGAAAGGTCAACCTGCGTGACCTTATTGGCCTCCTTTTTGCCAAGGAGACCATAGCACAAGAACTTGTGCATAATGGCAATCGCACCGTGCTCGATGAGGCTGTTAGGCATGCCTTGTGGGTCCCACACAGTGTCGGGAGAGAGTTCGGGCCAGAAACTAGCCATAGACATACCGAATACTGTCGAGAAGCCGTCATCCGTAAGTCCCAAAACTGTCTCAAGGGATTTATTGCCAATGACCCGACGGGTCCCTAGCATCCGAAAGGTCAAAGAATCAGATCCAGAAGCATTCGGACGGAACTCAAGAGTACTAAAGAACTCGAGTGTCAGGTTCCGGTAAGTCGGATGGAAAACATCGGCATATCTCCACAAGTGAAGCGTGGTCAAGTACTGCTCAACCGTCTCCAAAACGCCCAAATCCGAAAGTAATGAGAAGTCGAGCGTCTTCGACTTGAGGACCTCCTTTCTTGGCGAGCCGGGAGTAAATTTTCCCCTCACGTTCGTCGAGGATGGTGAAGGGGGCGTTGTACTGTGCCCGTAGATCAACCGGCTCGGCTTGGGAAGACGACTCTCCTTGTGTAGACTTCTGTTTCGTGCGTTTAGTAACCATCTTCAATAGAAAGTTCACTTGGGCAATTGATCAAACACTTGGAAGGCAAGAACTTGAACTTGAAGTGTATGTAAAGAACAGAGATGAACTATCCCAAAATTGACTCCACTGGCAATGGAATCCCGCAGCACCAACTCAATCAATTCAATAGCTTCGTGAAAGAACAAGAAATTCGATTATCGGGTGCCGAAACGCGAAGGTGCTGTGCACTGCGATGTTGAATCTTGAAGAAGAAGACCGTTTGGAACACGGTGGTACTGAGCAGAAGCTGTGGTCACGGGCAAGGAACTGGTCGACGAAGTTGAACGGTCGCCGGTGGACGGAGTCGCAGGTCGGAGATGATGGTGGAACAGGCCGGAAAAGACGCCGGCGACAGAGGGAAATCGGACCTAGGGTTGGGTCGCGGGACCGAGCGAGCGCGAGAGAGGACAAGTGGCAGAGAAAGGTGGAGAGGTGAGGATTGCCGTGAGCCCGCCGGCGAGGGACGACGGTGGTCGGAGAGAGGGTCGCCTTTGTTTGAGCCGAAGAGAGGGTCGCTGTTTATTTTTTTTTCGAGAGAGAAAGAAGAACCTGTAAAATAAAGCACGATTCAGTGGTTTTTATTTGGCCCTACGTTTTTTTAATTTTTTTTTTAATTTTTTTTT